TAAAAAAGTAAATCAGAGCTAAAAAAGTGTAAAAATGCAGGCAAATTTGCCTGTATTCTACTACAATCTAAGGGATAGATAATTGCTACTGGGGTGTGACCAATTATAGACATGACAACGAATTATTAACTAATTAACTTATATAAATAGTATATATTCATCACATATATAATTTGTTACACCACAATAGCAAACAAGTTTCAATTGCTTGTTATTAATACTATATTACTTACAATTCACTATCCAATACTTTCTATCTCTAACTCTAAATCTGCCAACTAACTACTACTAACAAATACTTTCTAACTCGAAACTCTAACTCCAAATCTGCCAATTAACTACTACTAGCAAATACTTTCTAACTCGAAATCCTAACTCTAACTAACTAACTAACGAATATATACTTTCTAACTCTAAACTCTAATCCGCTAACTACTAACTAACTAATATATACTTCTAACTTTAAATCCTATCCTAACCTGCTAACTACTAACTAATATATACTATCTAACTATAAATCTTACTCTAATCGCTAACTAATATCCCACTAACTAATAACCCACTAACTAACAAACTAACAATACTTTCTAACTCTAACCATCTAACTACAATATACCCTAACTCTAATCTAATAATTAAGCACTAAACTAGCTACTTAATAACTTGCTAATTATAATCTGCTAACTACAATATTGCTAATCTAATACAATTACCTACTAATCTACTTAATAACTTGCTAATTATAACTTGCTAACAACAAATTTCTAAATCTAATATTCTAACCACCAACTTTCTAATTCTAATATAAACTATTTAGAGTAACTTTAACTACCAACTTACTAATTCTAATCCACCAACTTTAATTAATATTAACTACAATCTTACTGATAATAACATATAAAGTTTTTGTCTTAAAAATAACCTTATACGTAGAACATAGTAAATACTATGTTCTATAAGGTTATTTTTAAAGCAAAAACTTCATATAACTTCAGATAAGTACTTATTCGCAAATATATAACAATTCAAAGTAATTAGTAGACATTAAAAGCAATAAATATCAATTTATGCGCATATACATATCTTAATAACACAATATCCTATACCTAAAAAGAATATGGAATTTGATTTTTTTGATGCTATTTTTCACATCCAGCTTTATTATATCCAACTTTATGACACTGCTAATATTTTGTAGATTTTCGCTCTTTAGTTTTCTGATGTTCTGCATTTTTCTGTTTTATCTTATGTGATTTCTTAAATCTTGTTTTGTGTGGAGCACCTTTTCTTGCATGAACAATAGGATTCTAATTAAAGATGGATTTATATTCTCAATATCTTGAGAATCTAATTCATCATTATCATAATTTGAGTCAGAACTATCAAAGCTATCAGATTCATCAGAGCTGCCCGGTATATTGTAAGATTTAGCTAACAAAGTTTTAGAGTTTCTTCGTGGTAATTTCTGATTTGTGTATTTTTTGTTATAAAGTTTTTTATAAAATCGTTTAACTCTTGTATTGCCGATGGTCCTACATCAAACCCCAATTAAATCACTTTTTTCGAAAGTCTATTAGCTATTGCATATTCTTTTTGTTGATTTAAGGAATTATAAACATGTTCATAAGGAATATTAACCATTTTATAAGGCATTTCTAAAAAGGTTTCAGTTTGTAAGGTATTAACAGAAGGTTCCTGAAAGCCATCAGTAAAAGGTTGTTGACAAAGGATTGAGGTAGGTTCATGTTGTTTTTCATTATTATATCATCGTTTAGATATTAACATTATATGAAATTTTGCATACATTGAAATTCCGAATAGGTGAAAAAATTGACGACAAACGATACCACATCAGACAAGACCCAGGCATGTACAAAGGTAAGATTTATTATCAAAAAGAACAACATAATTTTTTTTTGTGCATCTATGGTGAACAAGTTCCCAGATCTTAACAATGTTATTATATCTATCAGTTGGAATAAGCTCTTTTAAGACTATTAATAGAATATCAATAGTATCTTCAATTAAACCAGTATTAAGTGACTCATCTTTATTCTCAATCTTCAAAGCACAATTCTTATCAACTTGTTGAGAAGTGTACCTAATATATTTTTTTATAACAGGTTATAAAATCATAACCAATAATTACTCAACAGGTCATAGCAAATTATAATCCAATACTAATAATAACTATATGGACTGCAGTCAATTAAAATCAAACAGATTTATTTCATAAATCTGCCTGATTTTTATTGATTGCAGCCTATATAAAAGGACAATAAGTAAAGTAACATACTAGACGGCTTGTGCTATTTCTTGTCTTTGTATAAAAAAGGCGCAGAAGTTAAATAGTCAACAATCCATTTATCAATTATAGGTGAAAAGTCATGACTTGAATGTATAAGTGTTGAACTAGTTACGGAATGAACCCAATTTTTATATTATATTGTAGTAGATACACGATTGAGTTGTATTTCAATTTTTTTAAAAAAATCTAAGAGAGATGTGTGACTATTAATAGCACTTTTAATTATCGTATTTTGCTCTTCTACTCTTTGTGTACTTTGAATCTCTCCTGTAAAAATACGTGAAATATAAGAAAAAGCTTATTTATGTTTTTAAGAACCAAGCACTCTATTAGGATATGATTCTGAGGCAGTGTATTGTTCAAGTAAAGAGTCTCAAAGATGGTCAAATTCAGTTTGAGATACTGTATTTCTCATTTTATACCAAGTTTTAATAAAATCATTATATTCTAAACTCAACTTAGACTTTAAATTCTTTAATAAATTTTGTCCAATATGGTATATATAATGTATATGGTAAGTATCAGGCATTATGTTTGTAATTGTAGCATCAATAGCAAGATCATTGTCTATTATAATAACTAAAGTGAAGACATTTGTTCCTTTATTAAGTGAATTAAATACCATTCAAAACTCTCTAAAGTTTCATCAGTTATTAACATTTGCCCAACTAATCTAGATCTATTATGATTATTAACTATAACAAAAAGCCCAAGCACCATTTTAAATTTATTAGTAGAGTAAGTATTATCATATTGTATAACATCACTATATTGTAAGTAAAGTTTATATTGTTCTGGGGTCATCCAAAAATTGATACTAAAGTGTTTGTTGCTGGGTCTACATGCCAATTTATAGTCCATCTAATATTCTAGCTTTATGCTCAATAAAGTGATTAACCAGTATTGCATGCTTATTCAAAGAGAATGAATAGGTTCTATAATAAATAATAATAATAAATACCTTTTATAAATATTTTACAGTAGTAAAAAAATTATTTTAGTAAGATTTTTATTAAAATTACTAAAATACTAGAAAAACTAAATATCTAGTAGGGTTTTAGAATTCTAATACCAATATTGAATTATATAGATTGGATTGAATCTAGTTTAATATTATAATTATACTAGTGAATAACTGTGACTATGCATGTTAATTTATGATATCTAGAAATTCCCTCATAGATCTCTAGAATTGCTAATCAAACTAGCTTTTTTCTATTTAAATCTATCACAGCTCAAAGTCTTAAATTCTTTTATACATATAGATTCATATTTGTTTATGTTAATTCCAAATCTTTAATGATTATTACCATTAATTATCTATATTTAGCAATCACTTTTGGTATTGCACAATATAAAAAATTTTTTTTTTTTTTTGGTTTTAAGGTGACCTCTTGGTCGATTCTCTTTATTCAGTTATTAGTTAAGTTTTACCGTACGCTAAGCCCCTTACGACGCCCGTACAGTATAC